ATTATTTCAATGAACAAATTATAGCAAGACATATCAAGCACTTTTTTTAATCTTATAAAGAGAATGTTAAGGAATGTCTGCTTTTTACCATCCTTCTTTATCAAATATTACCTATAGTTACTAAGATGTTTATTTATGTAGGAATCTATTTTTTAAGACAAACTCAAGGGGCGCCTGGGTGGCTCAGTGGGTTAAGCTGCTGCCTTCAGCTCAGGTCATGATCTCAGGGTCCTGGGATCAAGCCCCACATCGGGTTCTCTGCTCAGCAGGGAGCCTGCTTCCCTCTCTCTCTCTCTCTCTGCCTGCCTCTCTGCCTACTTGTGATCTCTGTCAAATAAATAAATAAAATCTTAAAAAAAAAAAAAAAAGACAAACTCAACTTTCAATTTTCCCGTCTTCTAAAGATAAAAATATGCACAGACATTGGACTACTAAGGTGAGTTGGCAATGAGGAAGAAAAGGGGTCAGGGAGAGGTTGACAACTGTGACTCCATCTTGCAACTGCCACCATTTTGTGGAGTTCCTGGAAGAGCAGCTAGTTCCTGGACTCATGATATGTCTTGAGGTTTAGATACCTAAATTTATCTGCCCTGTCCTCAATATTAAGCAAAAGAAGTCAGCTAATCCCCAAGCAATCTATATCAACTGAAATTTCTACACTATTACAAAATATAAACAATTTTTATGTTCCCCTACCCTAAAGGCCTCTCACATTGACACTAAATACCTTCTCCAACAATTAGTCAACACAGGACACAAAGTATCTAAAGATTAATTACAATTCTGTTCTGCCTCTTTCAAATTCTTAGGCCATCTTTTAACACCAGATACACTAAAAATAGAACCAGACAGAATTACTACCATTATGCAGCTCCCTCAAGCCTAGATTGACAGACAATAATGGGTTTCCTGGGCTTCATTGTATACTGTCACCCTTGGATTCCTGAATATTCCCTCAAAGCTCAACCCTTAAGTGTCCCCCCAGCTGCAACCATTCCAGACCTTATCTTATGGCTTCAAGAGACCTAAGAAGCCTTCATACCTTTAAAAAAACCAGCTTATCTCTTACCCAACTCTAGGACACCCTAATTACCAACTGCCCTTCTTCTCCTTTGTGCATGAACTTTCTAGTAACATCTTGGGAATCCTGACCCAAAGGTATGGAGGCCAACAATGCCCCACAGGATATTACAGTCTTCAACTGGACCCTGTGGCGAAAGGTTGGCCTCTCTGCCTCTATGCCCTATCAGCTGCCTCTCTATTCCTTACTGCCACCAAAAACATAGTACCAGACTCTCCCCATAGGTATTAGTCCTATTAGTCTCTTAGATTCCCAACACACAGAACATCTCTATCTGCCAGTCATATCCTTGCTAGTAGTCATTTCACTCTCTTGTCCTCCTCTCAATCTGCTACCTTACTTCCCTTACCCCTCAACTTTTTTTCAGTGAATACTACAGAGTATCCTGCACCATATTTTCCTTGATCATTTATAATGCAACATCATCAATAAACCCAGTACAGTGTGGATTTGGGAGGAGAGATTTATGAGGGTCTAATTGAGGGGTAAATAATGAGTCAGTTATAAGGATGCAACCCCCTCTAATGGGAATACCAACTCCATTGTTAAGATGTCCCAAACTATAGCCCAGGGGATTCCCCCTAAAATATTGCTGGGTACGTAATAACCCACATACATTCCAACAAAGTACAAAATACGCCCTCTTAACTCCCTTCAGTTCAGGATATTAAGATCATTTACATCATGCCCAATGCCTCTAGTCATATATCATTGCTCCTCCCCACTCCTTCAAAGGTGACATAACCCCATTTGCTTTAATCTCCTTTCCTTGTTTTGAAGTTACTCCTGTCTACAACTTCTCTTCTTGCATAAGATATGTCCACCTGGGACCTAGTCTGGTTTCTACAGATGTAAATCTCACTTTCGCATTAGCTGATCACTATAATCTATCAACCTGCAATTCTATTTCATCCACATACCCTAATGCTACTGCCCTTTGCCACGTCATCAAGAATAGAAGACAAATGATGAAACTTACTATCAATAATATACAAATCCCCAGTGATTTTCTGGGGAATGATATATAGAAAGTCTCATCAAAGGAATATTTGTAAGAGGTTTTGCTATGATCAAACTAATCCCAAATTCTATCTTTTTTTTTTTTTTTTTAAAGACTTGTTTATTTTAGAGAAAGAGAAAGAAAGAGTGAGTGGGGGGGAGTGGGGAGAGGGAGAGGGAGAGAGAGAATCCTAAGCAGGCTCCACACCCACACAGAGCCCAATACAGGGCTCTATCTCAGGACTACGAGATCATGACCAGACCTAAAACCAAGAGTCAGGTGCTAAATCAGCTGAGCCACCCAGGTGCCACCCCCCAATTCTATCCTTACTGTAATCTCAATAAACCTTATATTGCAGGACCCCTATCTCCCTTCTGTACCAATTCTTCCTTTCCCCTCCTCAACAGCACCACTCTGAACAATAAAACAAGAGCAACTGAATCTTGGTGTGCTTCTGAAGGATATATATTTATCAGTAAGCCCACTTAATTATCTTTCCTATACGGGCAATCCTTATGGAAGAATATCTAACAAAACCTTAGCCTTCAAAAGTATTAAAACAATGCTTGGGTCACTGGACAATGTACCCTAGGATTCATATAATCTAATCTGCCTATCCTATCCACTGCCTCTCATAGAACCCAAAGGGCTATAGGTATAATAATTATTAGAAATGGTCTGGCCATAGGTATGTTGGCCCCTTGGGGAAGATTTGCTTATCATAAAGCCACCCTGTATAATCTAACAAACATTCTAGAGGAATTATCCCACTATACTGGTTCAGCCCTATAAAACTTACAATTATTCTTGGACTCCCCTGCTTCAGTGGTCCTAGACAATCAAATTGCATTTGACTACTGGCTGGTAGAACTAGGAGGTGTCTGTGCTCTTGCTAATATCTCTTGTTGTACCTGGATAAATACTTCCTCTAAAGTGGAATTAGAAATTAAAAAAAAAAAAAAATCATACAGGCCTCTTGGCTTCACAATATCAACAATCCCATCTTTAGTGAAATTTGGAATGATATTAAAATTATCTACCATCCATCCAATGTCTTTAGTTGGTCACCTGAAAAAACAGGAAACATCCTTCAATCGGGACTACCAGTGGGATTAAGTATCTGCTTGCTATACAAATACTTTTTGCTTGTTTCCAGAAGTGCCTTTTTCTCCTCTTCAGCTCCCAAGCTTCTGGGTCTATTGCTCCAACCCTATGTTGTTATACCCCTTATCTATAAAGAGCAGGATGGACCCCAAGCAGCAGCTAAGCACTTGGGCAACAAGAGACGCTACCATAATGAGTTTGCTCACCATAACTGATCATCGTGATGACTCACACACCAATGATCAAAAAGAGGAAATGAAGAGGAAAAGGAGGAAAGGAACACAACAATTCTGACTCCATCTTGCAACTGCCACAGTTGTGTGGAGTTCAGAGAAGAACAGACACTTCCTGGAATCGTGATAATCATTTTGAGATTTAGACATCTGGAAAATACCCGCCCCCACCCCACCCCAGGACCCACAATCCTGAGCAAAAGAAGTCAACTAATTCCTGAGCACAATGTACCAACTGAAATTTCTCCTCTGCTGTGGTTTAAAAAACAAAAACAAAAACAAAAACACCACTTCCTCTCACCCCTTTTGGACAAGCACATGGATTGAGTTGGGTTGTCCTGCCTGGTTTTTAATCCTCAATAAAGATTTGTCTCCTTTTTCCTCACTCGGAGGCTCACTGCTGAAGTTTTTCCTGAACAGCAGACCTTTTTTCCCCTTTAATACGTTTCCCTTTACCTTTTACTAAAACAACCATCGGAGCTTCTGTGTCTGGATAGCTAGGTGGCCGATTTCAAGACTGCCCATATGTAGCACTGATTCTCCATTTAAGCAAGTATCATTTTGGGGTTTGTTTGTTTTTTTGTTTCCTTAACTAAAAGCAAACAGGTTGAGCTCTCTGGTTTTTGGTAAACTTTCTTTGTTCCTTAAGCCTCCCCATTCTTTCATCCCTTTCTTCTGCTCATGACATTCTACCAGTGAACTAATACTGGGGAAAAAAATTGCTAAATCATAATTAGGAAGAGGTTTACATGAGTGTTTTATCTGGCTGCTATTAATTGTCATGATTACCACATTCAAACCACATTCAAATTTACCTCTCACCCTTTTTGGATATTGTAAATACAGGTAATAAAACATCAATTAGAATATGCGGACATTTTAGATGGTATAGTAGTGAATGACTATTTTCAATCTCTGGGGATGCTTGGTGATGAAAAACTAGGGATAACTAGGTTAAAAATAGGAATAAAACTGAAACAAAACAAAACAAAACAAAAACCTCTCTATTTACTCGGGTATAGGAATCCATAACATATTACCAGTACAAGCTCTGTGTGGACTCTGGAAAATTTCAAGAACAGTTACAACAACCCATTTTTTCCTGAAATATATTCCTGCCTAGAAGCATAGGGAGCAACAAAATGACTATTCACCATCTATTTCTGCATGATGATTTTATGACAAGATATATTCTTTAATATTCTGGAGCTCAAATGTACATTTACAACAAGCCCTCAAGCTTTTCTTCTATTTCAAAAATAATGAAAAGTGCATATAAAAAGTCCCATATGTTAGGCAACTGAAAATATTCTCCAAAAGTGCAGAGAATAGCTTTATCTGCAACTATTATTAACATAATAATGTCTTTTTTCTTGGTCAAAGAAAAGTTGCAATTTTCCTCAAAAGTAATAGCTCTTTGTGTTTAAGTTTATCTCCTTAAGTCTGTAACAAAGTGCAAAAGGTCTGTCATCAAACCATAATAAAGTTGATCATTTCAGCTGCCTATTACCTAGTGGTAGCACTCACTAGACACATTGAAAGAAACATTTAAGCAAGAAAACAATTTCAGAGAATGACTTACCCTCCTTTAATATAATCAAGGAATGAAACTTCTGTTTCTACCAAAAAAGAGAGTAAGGTTACCTGAAAAAGAAAAGAAAACCAAGGTAGAATTACCTACTAGTACTAATTGCAACCCCAAATGGACTTTATTCTAAGTATTAGAGAGGAACTAATATTTCATATTAGAGAGGAACATCACATTTTGAAAATCAATAACAATATTATTCTTTATTAAAATCTGCCAGGACTGACTGCTCTTACATTTAAAATGATCAGAATGAAAGGGGCCCAAAAAATTAACTAACTCCTTTCTATGACCAGTTTACTTCCTTTGAAGAATAGCATGAAAATTATCCACAAGGACACTGTGTTACTTCTCATTTTAGATAAAAGGAAAGATGAAAGGAGCTAAAAAACGGTTAAAACTAAAAAAACCAGAATCAGTAAGTCTTGTAAGGGGAAATGTGTGTTTTTGTCATTGTCCTGTAATGGGGCTATCTAATATTTTAACTGTCTTGCAGTATAGAAATCTTTAAAAGAAAATTGGGGAGATCTTAGATTTTGCTTCTCCTAAGAAAATTTAACTTCACAATAAAATCTTCAGTATATTATAGAAGAATTGTCATGGAGATGAAAAGTACATCATAGGTAGTACAGTCAATAATACCATAATAACATTGTATGGTGACATTTGGTGACTGCACTCACTGTGATGAATGTGGAGTAATGTACAGAATTGTTAAATCAGTATGTTGTACTCTTGAAACTGTAACATTGTGTTTTAGTTACACACCAATTAAAAAAAAGGTACACCTGAATTCTCCAAAGAAAAAAAAAGGACTAGGATGATTTTAAGATTTTTCACATATTCAAGGTACATTCATCTTTGTACCTTTGTGTACTGATTTAGCCCAGCATCCTACAAGGCTGTAAATCTGAACACACTATGAATAAGTACTTTCCCATGCCATGAGTTTTAATAGGTAAGTGTGGCCTGTAAAGAGCATAGTATTTCTTACTGACACTTAAACTTTTTCATGACTAGTTGATTCTCTCTGGTGTGATTCCACTGAATAAGGATTTCACGAGAAAACTTCAGCTTCCCTCAGAGGCCATATGGTCCCACGGACAACTTGCAGGAAGCTGGGTAACTCCTTTTTATCGGGTATTTTCCATTTCAACCATCCCACAGCAAGTTCAGTTTTCTGTTATAGCCCTTCATATTCAAATCTTAATTTAAAGAGCCTCGTCTTAGGTTCTAGCCTATGTAAATACATTTTTCATTCGTTTATTTGACTCCTTAGTGAATAACATAAAATTTGACTTACTGTTCCTGAATTAGTATATTTTTTCTTTTTTCCTTTTTTTTTGGGATTCACCACCTTGAAAAGCAGATAAAACAAATACACTGTGTTAGGTTTTACACAAAATTTTTTATAAAATGTGTAGTTCAAACTGCTGCCTTCACTCCTGATGCATTTGCTCCTTTACAAATGCCTTTAGTATGACTCCTGGACGGTCCTTCAGGCAAACTTCTCTACAAAATGTACTGGTGACCATCTTTGTGTGTGTGTGTGTGTGTGTGTGTGTGTGTGTGTGTGTGACCATCTTTTTTAAAAATACATTTTTCCAGTACTATTCTTCTCAATTACTTTATGCATTGATTATCTTTATCCATCTGTATCTTCCTGATGGGAGAGAGAATTTAACATCCTAGGTCCTAAATAATAATGACTGCTTTGTAGTAAACTATAAACAGGTAAAGAAAAGTATAGCCAAGATACATAACTTTTTTGTTATTAGGTTAAAAACACTAACATAGCAAATCACCCAAATTATGTACATACATAAGGACTCTGTTACTCTATTGCTATCAGGGGTAGTAATTTCCACCAGATACTGAGGCTAGGTAGTAATTAGTAAAAGTCTGGTTTGTGGACCAAGATTAATTTCTGACCATTTATTCCATTAGGAAATATTACTGCACTCCTATATTGTACAAGACACTGAAGAATATAGGGAATGTAAAGATGAGTAAGACCTGTCAATCTAACAGGATAAATAAAAATAAAGGAAGGAGAAAATTCTTTAGCACATCCCAATCCAAAACACACATGGAAGCATTTAGACAGGCAAAAAAAGTTAAAAGAATTTATGGCAAGTATTATTTGAACAAAACTTTATTAATTTAAGCAAAGGCTACATTAAAAAGGGACGGACATAACGGTCTAGAAAGAGGAAAAAGTAACTGGCCCAAGGTGGCTGGAGCAGAGAGCAAACACATACCATTTCAATGAATCCGAAGGACTGCAGGTACGTGGAGCCAGCAGGAGACACTCCTGTCTCCATGCCTGGGAGCTTGTGCAAGCTTAGAGATCCCACAAGGGCCCTATATTCTGCTCTAGCCCCCTCCCAGCTGCAGTCCACCAACAGTCCTATGGGTCCAGGGTCCCAGGAGGAAACAATCCTGTCTACAATCATCTAGATCCTAAAAGGGCCTAATACTTACTTAATTCCAGCTCCTTCCAGCCATAGTTTGTGAGCCATCCTGCTGGCACAAAGACCCACCAAGAGATGTTCATGTCTGCACCTTAGGAGACCATGAAATATCCTTATATTTATTTGGTCCCAGCCCCTCGGACCATGGTCACAAAGCAATCTAGCCCACCCAGGGACCTAGTGGGGGACATGCCCCAGAGCCAGTACAGACCAAAGTTTTAAGTATGGTACCCAATATAGCCATGGGACTCAGGGGCTGACCCTTCTAGGTCTGGTCCAGAGCCAGTCCTGCCTACTTAGAGACCCATGCGGGATCAGAGGGGACTCCTCCAAGAGACTTGGCAGGAGCCACACACGCCTTCGCACTTAATAAGAGGCCATCTGGCTGAGGACCTAGCTGTGCACCCTGAAAAGCAACCCTGGTTCAGAGTCACCCTCCTGAATAAAGTGCTGGAGCCAGTCTCATGCACAGGGGCCGGACAGAGTCCATGCCCGCTCCAGCTGCTGGTAACTAGCACCCCCAACCATGGTTGCTACTACAGACCTACTAGCCTCTAAAGCAGCTCTAGTCCAGCATGACTGCAGCTCTGGAGGTCATCTCATCAGCTCAGGAACTGACAGGAGAAGGTCTTTGTCTGCCAAAACCAGTCTGTAAAGCTGCAGGAGTTTTTTAAAAGCTCAGGTATAATGCTGGAGATCTAGAAGCCCAAAGGTGGGCAGAGAAAGCAGGCAACCATACAAGGATAAGCTGTCTTCTATTACTTTCATTGCCTGTTTAGAGCCTTAATAGTCGTTCCTTGGAAGACCCAGATAGAAAAATTGATCCATTAATCCATCTTTGTTGTGGCCTGGGAAGTTTAATCTGCAATATCTCATGCTCTACTAAGTAAAATATTATATGTACCCATTATCATGACACACTAAACATATTTGATGGGCTTGTCTCCCATTAGACACGGAGGTTTTTTTTTTTGGGAGGGAATGAGAGAATCTTAAGCAGGTTCCATGACTAGTGCAGAGCCCAATGTGGGGCTCGATCTCATAGCCCTTAGATCATGCCTGAGCTGAAATCAAGAGTCAGATGCTTAATCGACTGAGACACCAGGCACTGAAATTTTTAACCATCTATTTATCCCCAGGGCCTTAACAGAGAACATGGAATGTAAAATCGATGTGAATAAAGTTTATTTCCAGTGAATGAATGAATGAGGGAATGAATGGAATGTTACTGCTTTAGCTTAGTAAGAAGATGTTAGAAGATGGAAAGTGTTCCACTCCTAACTTAAAAGAGGTCAATATTCATGTCAACCTGGCAGGGAAAGAGTTACCATTATTAACTGATACTGAGATATTCTCCTTTGCCTTTGATGTTTGTTAAATAAAAATATTAAAGAGAATGTGTGGTAACTTAGCCCAAGTATTAACAGTGCCAGAACATACCATGTGCTCAATACATATTGGGGAGTTAACAGGCAAGGTAGGTTTAAGGCAGAAAGAGCTCCCGTGCTTGCTTTAATAACCTGGATTTCTTTAATGACTCAATTATATTTTGTCATTCCATTCAGTCTTCAAGTAAACTACAATGAAGGTGCTCAAACATACGAAGCAGACCACAGTTCATTTTAAAACACCAAGCTGACATAATGAAAATGCATTGTTCTTCTCTTTTTACTAAAAAGGTATTGGGGAGGAGGTTGGTAGAAAGGCAAAAAAAAAAGGAAAAAAAACCAAAAAAACCCGTGAGGTTTATGGAAAAAAAATTAAAAAACAACAACAACAACAAAAAAAAAAAACAGAAAGTTTTGGGGCGCCTGGTGGCTCAGTGGGTTAAAGCCTCTGCCTTCGGCTCAGGTCATGATCCGAGAGTCCTGGGATCAAGCCTCGCATCGGGCTCTCTGCTCGGTGGGGAGCCTGCTTCCTCCTCTCTCTCTGCCTGCCTCTCTGCCTACTCGTGATTTCTGTCAAATAAATAAATAAAATCTTTAAAAAATTAAAAATAAAAATAACAGTTTCATAGGCAAGAATTTTTAGATTTCTCAAAATAGACTTAAAAGACCATGAGACTTGAAGAGAAATAATACAATACCATTCAGTCTCAGAAACGAGTCTGTTCAATAAGTTTAAAGATTCTTACATATATTGGTAGTTGGTTATATTTTGACAATTACCCTTTGCAAAATCTACACTTTTAAAGCATAAATTTACTTATTCCAGAGGAAAATAATAAAATATAATTCCTCTTACCTCATATACGTTGAATTGCGATTGTCCTCTAGAAAGTTCCCTATAGCTTGTGGTAAATTCTCCAATGAAATCATGACTAAATTTAAGGGGGAAAATATATAATATTAGCTTTCATACATTTGTCAAATATACTTTTAAGTTTTCTACAAATGCATGGTTTAATCATGAAAAAAATGCTTAATATTACTATGAGCATAACTTAATAACATATTTTAAGAGACTCATACATAACTTCATTGTTCTTTAACCCCAAATTATATACACTCAAAAATTACATTTTGTTAGCATTCCAATAATTTTTAATTTATCCCACCAATATTAATATTTCAAACCAGTATTTCAGTTTTAATCACTCATATCTAAAAACACTGTTATCATCTATGCTACCAAAATGATTAACAATTTATTAGGATGAAAGTTTAAGACACTCAAAAACTTATTACTTATATCAATAATTATAAATACAGTATATAGAATTCTTCAAACTTTGTTATGACCAAGATGTAATAGGACATTATTTTTTAACATGGGATTAATAGTCACCAAGCTTTATTTTTGATAATAACAGCTTCAAAGTACATTGCTAATACCAACATGGTTATTCCGAATTTCTTCACATTAAAGCAATCATAATTGTCTTCTCAGAAAGCAGATCTTCTACAGGTGCCTTCTCAGTTTAGATGGGGAGGGATAGGGACTGAGTAAGCATGCATTAGTGCTCACTATAAAAACCTTGTCAGTGTGATTACTGAAGCTTACCTAAGGAAGTTTACAGAGGAAGAAGATAAAGCAGATAAAGACGGGAGGAACTAAAGTTGGTAAACACACCATAAGGGATGTCACTGCTGTTTATATCATAGAATTTAAGCTTGGCCCATATACTTTGCAAACACAAGGTGTTTGTTACCATTAAATAAAAAGCATACACACACAAGTAAATATATATTAGAAATAAATATAAATATACAGAAATGTATTTATATGTATTTTATAATTTTTTTAACTTATAATTTTATAGTTAAAAATATATATGTATATGTTTAATGCTTAGTTGTAAAGACCTGATGACCAGAGACAAGCAACAAAAAAACTGTTATCTAGCCAACCAAAACAGTAATTTCTAAAGATGGGATTTGGAAGGAAAAACAAGTTGCCATTAATTTCAGTAAGATTTTGCAATAAGAAAGGTTTTTATTACATTATTTAAAACACACCTCACTTAGATTTCCAGCCTCCCAGTTCTCCATTATCTCAAAGATATTGTACATACATCATAATATTCTAAATAATACATCCCTCTTTACACCAGTATCACCCTAACCTCTAACTTCCAGAAGCAGATCTACACATATGAACATGTGAAAGGAAAGGGGACTAAAACCAATGGTAAATATATTTGTATGTATGAACCCAATCCCCTAGGACTCAATCATTGAAGTTACATGGGGAAAAGTACAAAATAGTACTTTAGCACTATACATTTTTAATTAGGTGAAGTAATTAACTTTGACCTTCAGAATCCCAAGCTCATAATCTTGGTATCTTTCACTGCAATCTTAAAAACTGAGTTTTGGAGATTATGTTTAGAAGCTATCCTCTTCCACTGCTGTGTGTGTTTCAAATATCTTAAGTAACAGTCATGGAAACAAAACATTTCTATTAGAGCACTTCAAGCACAATGCTTTGGTAATGGTAAGTGTGGCAAGACTTATGTAACAGAGCTCACCACACTAGTGGTGAGAACTTCATATAGAGGACTTAAAGAAAACCTTGAATCACCTAAGCCCTTCTGGCATTTTTCTAATTATGCTAATCCTCATCTGGTTGATTGTTTCCATTCAATGTTGAGCTATTACTATTAACATTAAATTCCCACCACTCAACACTCACCAAAAACTTAGTAGAGAGAAGCAATATTACTGATCTCAAGTAGATACAATTAATTACTCAGTCAAGTTGCAAGACCATGTAATACCCATCCAGATAACAAAAGTCCAGCAGAGTGGCAAATCTGGATGCAATGGCAATGGTCAGGTTTATCATACCCCACATAGATGTGCCCCTGTTGCAGTCATTCTGGAACTCCCTAAAAAGCAATTCTCTGATATTTGGTTCTGTTTTGCTTTGGTAAATTTGGTAAATTTGTTACTCTCTACAGAACTGAGTGAGGACCAATGAGGTACAATTATGAGAGGATCCTATTTATCATGAAATGGAGACTTCTTTTCCCCCTGAGTTAGTTGTTAGAGAGGGCTTATGGCCAAATCAGCGGCCCATTTCTTGCAGAATAGGTCTTCATGACATGCTGTCCTCTGCAGACTTTTCAGGCTTCTTACCCTTATTTCTCCTTTACTTCAATTTCCTCCCCAGTTTATAGTTCACCATGTCTCATTACATGGGTTTCTATAAATTATCTTGGATCCTTTCCAGAATGAGACAGGATATAAATAAAAGAATGAATGAAATATTTGCGCCTCCCCTTCTGAGTCTTGTCTAAGATTATTATTTTGAATAAAACACTGAATTTGCATGTCATATAAAATCAATGCTATCCTGTGTTGTAGAGGAGAAAATGTACTGAGTCACAAATTGCATTTCAGCCTCTACAACAACAATTCTGTGAGATAAAGAAAATACATCATTGTATATTCAGAGCCAGAGAGACAGATGATCATGAAGTGAGGATGTGTCAAAAGGTCACCAACATAAAGCAGTTAAGAGGAGGTGGCAGTAAACTTGTCAACCCTTGATACAAGGTGCTTTGTCTCCAGAATAAATCTGAAGAATTTGGGTGGATAAGTGGATTGACCCCCGGGTGAATTTTGTCATCAATCTTTTGGAATACAGGAGAATTTTTATAGTTTCCTTTGCAACCTGTCCTACTTCAAAAATTGCTTAGATAAATACTTTAAAGAAAGAGTTAAATGTAATTTTCATGGACTTATAATTATCTTTTTCCCCCATCATCAACTATTCCTAGATTTTATGGAGATTAAAAGGCAAATTTAATTTACCTTAATATTTTTAACTGTTCCTGATTTTTAATAATATAATATTAAAACAATTATCACTATACAGAGAGATATGATGGGAAGACTTTCATTATAAATCACAACCAATAATTTCCTTGTGATTCAATAATACTGCTTTGCTATTTCCTGTTAATTTAATTGCAACTAAAATAATGATTTTATGTAATGTCTCTCTGACTGCATTTGTAAAATAAAGTCTACTCCAGGGCTGTTTATCCAATTTGTGTCTGTTTACATCTCCAATTTGTTCTCCATACTTTTTATAATAGATATATGCTACTGAGGAAAAAAAAAATTAAAGGACATTTAAAGCAAATTGATTACTATTATATAGCTAGTAGTCTGGCTCTAAAAGCTTTGTTTGAGGAAATCTATTAAATTGTTAAATAAAATTTATATATTACTTCTATGCTCTATTAATAGTGAAAAAATAGATACTATGCACATTCACATTTATATTTGAAATCTCTAGGATAGTCCTTACTTAGCAAATATGTCTAACCCCTCTCTTCCATTTTTGGCCCCTTCTTTCCCAGCATCACCAACTTTTATAGCCTAACTATTATGTCCTCCAAGAAGCCTTTCCTGCTTCATGCCTTTCCCTCTTTGCTCTTCAAGAAGTCAGTATCTCTCTACCATCACAAATCCTGTATCGTATTATACCTGTTGTTTATTTAGTTCCCCTCTCAGCCTTCATCATACTTGAAGGTAAGAAAGGTGATAAACTCATCTCCATGTTTTCGGCATCTACCTCACTCCCTGGTACACAATGGGCACTGTTGAAAGTTGGAAATAGATTCAAGTTAATATCACAGTCCTTCTGTGATCTGATTTTGCCAGTAATATTAACAAAGTTGCCTCAGATTTTATTCAGTCTCAGAGAACGGCATGAGTGTGATTCCCATTAACCACTGTTACCCTCTCCACCTCCTTAAAACAACTCTGAGAGCAGAGCAAACAACTCTTCTTTTCCCACAGGAGTACAACCACGCAACCACACCAAACAAAGGCAGAGAAAAGAGAGGCAGGCAATACTAATATTGCCTTTTGCTGGCCATTTCTGGTGATCCTCATGAAGACCACCCTGCCTTGAGGATAACAGAGGATTCTCACTTTCTTGACTGCCAGTAAACTAGTTTTGCACATAATGTATACAAATGACATGCATGTACTGAACTTGTCTCATCCCTTTCTCCATCACTGTGTGATCTGGAGTAAGTCAGCCAACTTCGGGGTCCTTATGCCTTCACTTAAAAATTGGAGGCAATGCCTGCTTATTGTTTTGAAAATAAACTCAGAGAACTCATTTGATTCTTTCTGTGAAAGTTGTTTAACTCCTTGAAAAAGACACTATATTTTTCCAATTACTAAGAATATGATTCTAGATATATAGAGTTATGTAGATATAAAATTATATGTATAATTTTAAGAAAGCTTTAATAAAAATAACTTGTGAGGATGTAATAGGCTTATGAATTGATAAATGCTGTGCTGATATTATTTGGGAGTTACACACACACCTGTGGCTTGTACTGTTCTAGTGCGACTCCTCTGCCTTGTAGTACACCTATGTGCCATGTTTCAGGTATGTGTTGAAGGATCTCTCAAACAGGGATTTGTAAACAAATAGTATATTAAAGACAATTTCTCTAGGATGTTGAAAATATTTTGGCTCAATGCTGGCATGATCTTTCCCACGGAAACAACAGTCCCGGATATCACTGTCTCCTCCATTTGCATGCAACATAGTGATTTCCTATGTCCCTCTATCTTGTCTAATCTGGGTCAGTCCTAGCAAGCATAGCAGTATTTTTGAAAATAGCTAGAGATTAAGCAGTCACAGAATGAGACACTTTTAAATGAAGTGCAGTTATGGTGACCCTAATTCAACTCATAGGTTGTAAACATTCCTGTTTTAATCTATATTTATAGGAAAAGAGCAGCAGTGTTGGTGACTAAAACCAAACCACTGACTCCATGACAAGTAAAATATGCCATAGGATTTGTGAATTCCCATGATCAACACAAAAACTCATCTTTATGA